TCAAACTTCTTTTTGAAACTTAAAAAAAATAAAAATAAAAAAAAAGAAGAAGAAGAGAGAGAGATAACAAGAAAATGAAGAAAAAAGGGAAACAAAAAGCGAAGAGAAATAGGATAAAGATTAGAAGAAACAAGAGAGTAAGAAAATAGAATTGAATAATTTAGAGAAGGTATTAATGTAACTTACATTTTTCAGCTATGAACTCTTTAACCTTCCTCTCCTTCAGGCTGCACAAAAATCTCTTTTGGTATTATATGTATGTGAATGTGGGTTGTAAGATGCATGTTAAAACAAGATAAATAGAAGAACAAGAGAAAAAAAAAACGCGATAAATATTAGAAGAAAAAATGGAAAAGAATAATTCAAAAAAAGTATCGATGAGACTTATATTTTTTTTACTATGAACTCTTTTAACTTTTCTCCTTTAGACTTCACAAATATCTCTTCTGATAATAGACATATATGAATATAGGTTGTAATGTACTTCTTATAGGGATGTGGGTTAATAGAAAATAGAAACTATATGTTTTTTTTTCTGTTTTTTTTACCTTTTCTCCTCACATCTATTTGAACCGTCCCTATCCCCTCAAATATCACGTCTCCCTTCTATCTCTCTTTTCCCATCTCGTTCTGTCTCTTTTTTCTTTTGGAAAAAGTTTTTATAGATCCGAGGCTCTAAACAATCAAAGTAGAGCTCACCTCAAAAATTTCATTGGAAGAGGTTGTTTTGATGCCCAAATATCCTCAAATTGTTCATATTGACATCAAGATGCATGGACATGAGAAAATAAATAGATTTCAAGTTTTGGAAATAGTGCATCTTGTAACGCATTTTTGGACCGTCAATTTTCAAGATTTTCAATTTTTCATAGATCTGTTTGATCAACACTATATTTGAAGCTTTAAATTTTGTAATTAAAGATGAAACAATATTTTAAAGCTATCACAAAGATTTTCAGTATTGAAACCACATTTCTCGATACTATTTGAAGGTGTGCATTACTTTGATTGTTTAGAGCCTCAGCTCTATACAAACCACACCCTTTTCTTTTTAAAGTCTTATGCCCTAAATCCTTCCAGCCATATGATCTATTAATATTATTGCGTTATTTGTCTACCCCTCCCTCAACGATTTTGCACTTATCTCTTTCTCTCTCATTTCTTGTAAAGGTCGCATGCCTTAAACTCTCTTTAGGCATAGGGTCTATTCTTATTCTATATCCACCCATGAACTTAGCTTAAAAATGTAGTGTGTGTAATCCCATGCTAGATAGAAATATAGTGTGTGTCACATATATCTTAAACTTAAAATATATAACCAAGACTCTTAATTTAATTGGATTTCTATTTCTTATCCAAATGTAATTCTACTTATTTTAATAAGATTTCTATCCAACCGTGGATTTTACTATCGTCATCTCCAACACCTATCTCTTAGCTCTCTTTTAAGTTCTCTCTCTATGGAGGTTTTCTCACTTTGCAAGTTCTTCCTCTACCGAAAAAGGCTTTCGAGAACAATGGCACCCACTTTTTTTGTATTGTGATTACCAGGCACCATCTTGTTGCATATTCTCCACATCCTCGGCTTAGCCCATCTCTCTTCTTTGTTTTTTTTGGGTGAGTCAATGGGGCCTACCCTTGGTAGGAATTTAGCTTAGGATACAGCGTTGCAAATTGTCAAGCGCTAACCAATTAAGCCCAAGCTATTTTCCTTTAGCCCACCTCTCACCCTCAACTTAGCTCATTTCTCGCTCTCTCTGGTTGTTATTCGAAGCAATACAGGCACCTCCCTCTCTTCATGATCTATTCTCCTGAGTGATATAATCACCTTCTCTGTCCCTCTCTGTCTCTCTGTCCCCCAAGATCTTTTACAAAAGCTATATGGCATCCCATTCTCTTTTTTAAATTTTATCTACAAGTATGACTTCATATAGGATTGTCAATCGATGTAGCTGTGGTTATTGAGCTTCTCGCGAACTCCTGTTCTCTGCCACATCAACGATGTTTCCTTTGCTTCCTATACTCTGCTCTCTGAAATTCGATCACCTAAGATCAGAGACATGGCTCTAATACCAATTTTAGAGCTTTGCAACAAATGACTCGAGCATAAAAAAAAACGCACACTAAACATAAAAAACATAGACACAAATGGTCCCCATAGGAAAAACTAGAGCACCTAATAAAACACCTACTCATATGCGAGAAAGCCTCCCAGAAATAGAGATTATGCAACTACTTTCTACTTCCTAGACATTCAAATCTTTGGCCCGAAACATGTGCCTACCTACTCAAATACTTGTTCTATTAGAAACAAAGACCTTAGCAACTATGTTATTCATATTCTTGTTGCATGCATTGTGTGCCAGAGTAAGTGATAACTTTGAATGCATTATATATCTGATATAATGCATGGATCTAATTTATTCTTAGTTTTTTTGTCTTTGGATCGCTCTCTCTCTCTAGTACGATGAATCTTATGTTATCTTTTGATTTGATGGTTTAGTTTTTTTTCATCATCAAGTGGAGAGAAAGAGGGAGAGAGACTTGACTTTGTAAAAAAAAAAAGAAGAGAGAATCTAGAGAGAGAGATTTGACTTTGTAAAAAAAAAGAGAGAGAATCTAGAGAGAGAGATTGTTATGTGGACTTGCCTTCTAAATGGGGCTTGTTTTTTTTTTTTTTTGGATTTCGAGGGCTAAAATTGATTGTTTAGGTTGGTTTGGCAAATTTCTTTAGTGAATTCAGAGAGAGAGAGAGAGGGAGAGAGATGCTGGAAAGAGGGAGTTAAATATTTTTTGGCTTTGGTCTGTGTCACCGAATTCCAGGAATTTAAAATTTCATGCTACAAAGTCTTCACATAATTCTAACTTGGGAAATTACGTCGATGCCCTTTTATTTGACCGTTATTATACTATGGTTAAAAAATATCACATATTTTTTATAGAGGTCCTGTCCCTTTATTTTTTTACTTTTTTTCAAGTTTGTCTCCAGTCGGCTGTTTTAAATATCAAACTGCATATTAAATTTATTTTTTTTAATTTTATAATATTCAAAAGTATATATATATATATATATATATATATATATATATAGTATATATAGTAGGGGAGGAGGCGCCATACCTGTATTACACTAATAAGTAATGGAGGAAACTAACTA